TGTACATGCACACAATATAACAATTCAATTTGGCCAGTATCACTCCAGTGTTGAAGTCTTCTTCCTCTTGTATTTGGTCAATGTCCTAACAGAAGAGTAGAAAGGCCAGTTTTATATTGACTGGCTCTTGTACCCTTCTCAAATATTTTTAAATTTTAAATTTATTTTTAAGAGATGCATTAAAACATAAAAATTGTACATATTTATGGGGTGGGGGCACCATGTGATTTTGTTCTGTTCTGTTTCACATTTTAAGGAGCTGGGGATTGAACCCAAGGCCTCGTGCATGCTACGGAAGTGCTGTGTCCCTGAGCTCCACCCTCGCCCTCCAGGATGTGTTCATGCAAACCTTGTCTAATGTCTGAATCAAGGTGAACACATTGTCTCCTCAAACACTTATTATTTTTTTGTGGTAAAAACATACAAACTATTTTTTTCTAGTTTTTTTGAAATAGAGAGTACATTATTGTTATCTACAGTCATCTTATTGTACAACAGCACCCCAGAACTTCTTGCTCCTTTTAACGATAATGGTACCTATTAATCAGCCTCTCCCCATCCTTCCCAGCCCCTTCTTTCCCCAGCCCCTTGGTAGCCACCGTGCTCCTCTCAATGTCTTTGAGATCAACTGTTTTAGGTTCCACCTATGAATGAGATGATGTGGTGCCTGTCTTTCTGTTCCTGGCTTATTCCCTTTAACATAAYSATYTCTAGTTCCTTCCACTTTGCCTCCAATGAGAGGATTTTATTCCCTTGTAAGATTGACTAGTATTCCACTTAAGTGTGCATGTATGTGCATGTGTACCACATTTTTAAAACTATTTATCAGTTGATTCCATATCTTTGCTATTGTAAGTAATGCTGCACCCAAAATGGAAATGCAGGTATCTCCTTGACACACTGATTTCATTTCTTTTKAGTATATATCTAGTAGTGGGATGGCTGGATCATACGGTAGTTCTATCTTTAGTTATTTGAGGAGCCCCCGTGCTGTTTTCCATAATGATGTACTAATTTACAATCATACCATCAATATGCAAGTATTCCCTTTTCCTGTTAATGAGTCATATTCTCAAAGTACTGCTTTTGAATGAAATATAAAATATACCAGGCCC